TCCAGACCTCTGCTTAGTGCGACTGTTTGAAGCAGTGCGGCCGATGGGGGAGGGACCCCTCCTGCTCGAAACATGCACCAAAAACAGCCAAGATCTAATCCATGGGGCGGGGGAGGAGGAGGAGGAGGAGGAGGAGGAGGAGGAAGGAGGAGGAGGCGAGGAGGAGGAGGCGAGGAGGCGACGGGAGGAGGAGGAGGAGGCGGGAGGAGAGGAGGGAGGAAGGAGGAGAGGATGGAGAGCTCACGCGGCCGTGGATGCGACGGGGAGGAGGAGGAGGAGGAGGAGGAGGAGGAGGAGGAGGAGGAGGAGGAGGAGGAAGGAGGAGGAGGAGGAGGGGGTCGGGGTCCTACACTGCCCTGGGAAAGGAATGTAACTATGATCGTCGATTCTTTGTTCTCGTCGCCCTCGGCTCTTCGTAGTTAGTGTCTGGCATCCGGGCGCCCTGGCTCCCGACTGAAAGGGCTCCGCGACTGTGCCGCCAGATGCGCTGGGCAAGGAAAATCACTAAATTTCCCTGGTTTGGAGGGTCGGTGTCCTACGGCAGGTTCGCGTCGCGTCGACCCCGGCGTCGGTTTCTGACGCCGCGTGGATCGTTCAACCTTGAACGATCGGCCGTTTCCTAAACGTGCAAATCGTTCCACATTGAGCGATTCTGGGTCGCCGCCGGCGTTCAACGTTGAACGCCGGCGGCGTGGTCGCCGCTGGTCGACACGACGCGAACCTACCGTATGACCCTGGCGGCGCGCTCCTGGAGGAACGCGACCAGGGGCTCCTGCGAGCGGTCGGAGCCCCGCAGCTCCGCGGAGACGTCCAGCTCCCCAGCGAGGTCCTGGGGGGCAACGATAGGGGGCGAGGTAGGCCTAGGGGAGGAGCATCGACCTGGAATCGGCGATGCATCGCCGATGGATCGGCGATAGGCCCCCGATAATGGATCCGCACGTTCCTGGGCAGTTTTGGGCAATTGGGCCCCTTATCGGCGATCAATGGGCGGTTGGGGGTCGGTGCATCCCCTCCTTGTGCCTGTCCCCCCCCCTATCGTTGCCCCTGAGGTCCTTGATCCTCTGCTTGTGGCCGTCCAGGGCGTTGGAGATCCTCGCGAGGCCCGAGACCAGCATCTTGTCGAGATGCTCTATGAAGGACTCGCCCTGCGGGGCCCGTCGGCGGGGGGCGAGGGGGAGAGAGGGGCAGGATATCTGGCTGGGATTCTGGACTTCGGGATTGGCCATGCGCGCGCCCGCTGAGAGTGCGAGGCCCGGGCAGAGGAGACAGGCGGCACCGACACAACGACCGAAGAGGAGCAGGAGGGAGAGGAGCAGGAGAGGAAAGCGAGGGAGGGGTGGGGGGTGGGGGGAGGGACAAGGTCGGCGCGCCCGAACCACACCTGAGATCCGGCCCACCCCAACCGCCCCTTCCCTTTTGCGCCGACGGGGATATCCTGGAGAACCTCGGTGCCCAAATGGCAGTTGCAGGACTTGACACATGGTTTGCTGCGTAATCGGAACGGTGGAGGTCTTGTACACTGGAGGAGGAGACGGATGAGCAGGAGGATCAGCAGGAGCAGGAGGGAGGGCAGCAAGACGAGGGGAGGGCGGAGGAGGGGAAAGGAGGTGGGCAGCAACAGCGTGAAAGGGAATCGAGCATCGGATCCAGAGACGTGGCCCGCGCAGGCGCGAGAGCGCCAGTCTTTACAAAAGGAGCAGAGCACTGATCCTGAAACGTGGCCAACGCTGCTGCGGGAGCACCATTTCGAGGGACAAAGGACGCTCCGATTGTCCCCCCCCCCCCGTGCCCCCGAGAGGCCCCCAAGACGGCCCCGACACTGGCCCAGTAGACCTCCAAGGCGACCCTTTGGGGCCCCAAGAGGGCCCCAAGACGGCCAAGAGAGGTGCACAAGATGGAATCCGAAGGCAGCAGGCTGCCCAAGAACACCCCAAAAAAGACCCAGAGGGCCCCCAAGAGGCCCCGAGAGGTTCCCAAGACGCCCCAAGAGGCACCCAAGAGAGGAGGAGGAGGAGGAGGAGGAGGAGGAGGAGGAGGAAGAGGAGGAGGAGGAGAAGGAAGAGGGAAGCAGAGGAAGAGAGGAAGACGACGACGGACACGAAGGCACCCCGACAAAATGCTTAACAAGGTGTCACATCTTACGGCTCGCCCATGCCTCGGGACACGAGATGACAACCGCTACGGCCTCTCGCACGCTCCTCCAGCAGTCGCCACCGACTGCCTTGGCTGGCACGGTGGTGGGGCTTGCCGCAGGCGGCTGCACAGCAAAACAACGCGCTCAAACATTGAAACACACCGGCTTGAATAAACCAAAACGCGAGAGAGGCGTCAGCGTCACCGCGCGCAGACAGGGGAGAGAGGAGAGAAGTAGCTGTGCAGAGTGCGCTTCTTTGACTTAGTGGAGGAGGAGGTAGGAGGAGGAGGAGGAGGAGGAGGAGGAGGAGGGGGAGGAGGAGGAGGAGGAGGAGGAGGAGGCGGAGGAGGAATAAGGAGGAGGAGGAGGAGAGGAGGAGGAGGAGGAGGGGGAGGAGGGAGGAGGAGGAGGAGGAGGAGGAGAGGAGGAGGAAGGAGGAGGAGGAGGAGGAGGAGGAGGAGAGGGGCAGGAGAGGAGCAGAAGGGGGAGGGGAAGGAGGAGGAGCAGGAGGAGGGGCAGGAGGAGGACGAGGAGGGAGGAAGAGGGCCTTTCTGGTCCCTGCGGGGGGGGTGGGGTGGGTGGGGGGGGGGGGGCGATTCCCATCACCCGCGGAAGGGGGGGCTGGCCCGAGCGCGCCGCCGCTAGTGGCGGGCGCGCACAACGTGAACAGCAACAACCAGGAGAAGATGAACATCCAGAAAAGAGGGTGATCATCCGGGAGAGGATGATAATTCACCAGCTGACCAACTCCAAGCAGGACATCCACAACATCGGCTACGAGAACTAATCACCTCGGTGTAGACTACGGGCAAGAGGCCGAGACTATACTCGCATAGAGACATACGGACAGACGCAACGCTCAAAGGGAACGGGCTACCTCATCCGACACGGGCTACAACCAAACCTCAACGACATCATTACCATCGTTACGACCGCCTTTCTGATGGCGTCCTCGACAGGACGACACGAGCTGCGTAAAATGCAGCCAAAGGAAGAGCTGCATAACACGCAGCTGGAGCAAGAGCTGCGTAACAGGCAGCCCAAGTGCGACACCAAGTACGCCACCAAGACCGACACCAGGAAAGACACGACCGAGCAGCCCGAAAGGGTTACTAAGTACACCGTCATGGAGGCACGGTGGACAACGACCGCGCCGCTTACGACGAGTACGACTACGGCCGCGCCGACTACGACGAGCACTACTACGACAGTGCGTTCGAGAGCGACCTGTACTCCTGCGACACCCTGGACTATGAGGGGCCGCAGGGCTACGACAACCGCCAGGACTACAGGGACACCAAGAACGGAGAACACTACGACTTAGCAGCTGACGACTCCGACTCGGACCCCGTGGACTACGAAGAGAGCGTGCCCTCTGAACTGCTACGGCCACCAGCAGAGCTTCCAGGGTCACCAGACGACCTTCGGGAACCACAATCTGAACTACGAGGACCACACGCATCGCTACGAGAGCCACCTGAAGAGCTGCAAGTCCCACACGCCGAGCATTGGGACCCAGCAGAGCCACAGGAGCCACAAGCTGAGCTACGAGGACCGCGAGATGAGCCACGAGAAGCAGGACTACGAGAGCCACCAGCTGAACCACGAGAGCTACAAGCTGCGCTACGAGGACCATATGCTGAGCTACGAAAGCCACAACCCAAGAGCCACAACCGAAAGTATTACAGGACCCACCAGCCGCGCTGCGAGAGCCACCTGCCGAGCCACGAGAGCCACAAGCTGAGCAACGAGGACAGCAGCACAAGCCACGAAAGCCACAAGCACAACTACAAGAGTTACCGGCTGAACCACGAGGACCGCCAGCTGCGCTACGAGGGCCACGAGCTGAGCCACCGGGACCAGCTGGGATACCGGGGGGCACCAGCCGTGCTACGAGGACCACAGGCACAGCCACTGCGCGGACTAGCTACACGAAGACCTGCCTGACCCTCCTGCAGAGCGACTGGGGCACCGCGCTGAACGGCGAGGACCAGAGGCAGAACACCGAGACCCACCGGCTGACCTACGAGGGCCACGGGCAGAGCCGGGAGGGCCACTGCCTGAGCTACGCGGGCCACAAGCAGCACCACGAGAGCCTCCTGCAGAACTGCCAGGGCCACAAGCTGAACTGCACGGTCTTCTTCGGAAGGGGGACCCCTCCCCCGACCCCCTCCACTGCCCCTCGAGGGGGGGGGGGGGCGGCGGGGGGGGTAGGGCTCAGTCAGAGCGTCCAACAAGATCCAAGATGGCGCCGCGATGGCCTCATGTAGCTCAGGATGACCGCCGTCGCCGTCGCCGTCGCCGTCGTCGCCGTCGTCGCTGTCGGCCGCCTCCCCAGACAGCCAGCGCGTCACGATTCTGTCTAGAGGAACAAAAAGCGGCATAAGGATAAACTTTCGGCGCTCCGCGCGGATTCCCCTTACATCACCATAGACTTAACAGAATTTAAACATAAACATAAACATAAATATAACAACAAATTGCAGCATAAACATAAACTTAATATCACATAAAGAATCCGCGTTGGACCCCCCCCCCCCTGGCGCGCGGAGCGCGCCAGGGGCGCCGCCGGAGGCGCCACTGGGGGGGCCTCAGCGCGGATCCGAGAAATCCGCGCGGGGCGTCGAGAGTTCGTGTCCGTGCCGTTTCCGGATTTTTTTGCGGCGCGATCACGTCTGGGACGATGTCTGGGGGGGGGGGGCGGTGCTCCCCGCGGCCTGGTGCACCGTGGGCGCCGCGGAGCGGTGGCCGTGGCGGCCGAGGAGCTGCTGCGAGGCGTCGCGGCGCGAGGAACCGCTGCGCGCGCTCTCGAGGGCCCGCTGGAGGGCCAGGCGCACGGGGCTGGGGCGGACCTCCTCCTCGCCGTCCTCTGCCTCGGCCGGGAGGGGGATGGGACGCGCAGGGACAGACTGATGCCTCATGTCTTCCTTGGAGGCGCGCGTCCGACCCGAACATACAGTATACTCATCTTGTAGCATTTGAGCGGTGTGGCCAGCAAGCACCCGCCACGACGCATATACCGTGAGATTTTTCGGTGCGCGCGTCGCTCCCGGGGGGGGGGGGGGGGCGCACACATAGCATTAGTATCTTCGGGGGTGACTCCGAGCGGAGTGAGGGGGGAAGGGACCCCCTCGCGCTGTGAAAAAAAACACGACGGGAAGTTGTTCGCACTTATCGGTTTCCGGGGAGCCCTCACCGGGCCTCGGGCACGCGAGAAAACGAATCATATAGGATGAAAAGCCAGTCCCGGGGAAGGGGTCCAGTTGGGGGTCGACGTCGTGAAAAATCACGACGTCGGGGGAGGAAGCGGGAAGAGGCATTGTTAGGGGGAGCTGCTCAGGGGGGGTGGAACATCAGCCCTGGAATCGGCGATGCGTCGCCGACAGATCAGCCCAGCGAGGGCCCACTCGCGCTCTCGAGGGCCCGCTGGAGGGCAAAGCGCACGGGGGCTGGGGCGGACCTCCTCCTCGTCCTCTGCCTCGGCCAGGAGGGAGAGTGGGGGGGGGAGGTGCATTCGGACCTGAGACGGACGAACATCCCTCAAGAACATGAGACCATCCGTCGGCCAAAGCACACAGAACATCCAAGGGCACCCTCCCCGGGATGCACAAGAACACCCCGCAAACGCGAAGGGCACCGGGGCACCCTCCCCGAACCGACCTCGATCTCAGACCTCGGTCCGGCTGTAACGCTAGGGGGGGACCTGCTCAGGGGGGGGGGGGACGTCAGCCCTGGAAATCGCCGATGCGTCGCCGATAGATCGGCGATAGGCCCCCGACAGCGGAGCCGCACGTTCCCGAGCGGAGCGGGCTGGCGGGCGGGCCTCTGAGGCGATGAGCGGGCGATGGCGGGCCGATGCCTCGCCGCCGGAGCCTGCCTCCCCCTGACGCTGCCCCTGAGGAGGGGGCACAGGATCGAGGATCGAGGATCGAGGATCGGGGGTCCAGGTCCGAAGACCGAGGGCCCTGGTTTCGAGGCGCGCCTGGCCCCAGGAAAGCCAGAGTGAGGAGGGGGAAGGGGAGGAGGGGGAGGAGGAGGGAGGAGGGAGGAGGGAGGAGGCGGGAGGACGAGGGGGAGGAAACACGAGGAGGGAGGGAGGGAGGCGAAGGAGAGGGAGGCAGGGAGGAGAAGCACACGACCAGGCGGAGGGCCGCTTTCCGCCCCGCCGGCGACCTCCTGCTCCTGCCCCCTGCGGCCCTGGCGCTTCGAGGGGCGGTCGTCGCCCTCGTCCTCCTTCTCGCCGCCCTCCCCCTCCTCCTGGCCCTCCTCCTCGTCTGGCACCCCGTCCCCTTCCTCGCGCGCCGCGCCCCTCCTCGCCCTCGGCGCGCGCCGGCGCCCTCCCGCGCCGGCGCCGCGCTTCCTTGCCCTGCGCCCGTCCTCGTCCTCGTCCTCGCCCGGCACCTGCTCGGCCTCGCCCTGCGCCTCCTCGGCATGCGCGTCTTCTCCCTGCGCGGGGGGCGGTGGGCGGGGGCACACACACACACACACACACACGGCCACCGTGCTGGCAGGCAGGAGCGCCCTCCCTCCTCCTCCCCCTCCCTCCTCGCTCCTCCTCCTGGCCTCTCCTGGTTTCTCGCTCCCTCCGCCTCCTCCTCCCCCTCCTCCTCCTCTCCTCCTCCTCCTCGCTCCTCCTCGCTCGTCCGTCCTCCTCCTCCTCCTCCTCCTCCTCCTCCCTCTCCTCCATCCTCCTCCTCCTCCTCCTCTCCTCCTCCTCCTCCTCCTCCTCCTCCTCCTTCCTCCTCCTCCTCCTCCTCCTCCGCCTCCTCCTCCTCTCCTCCTCCTCCTCCTCCTCCTCCTCCTCCTCCTCCTCCTCCTCCTCCTCCTCCTCCTACCCTCCCTCCTCTCCTCCTCTCCTCCTCTCCTCCTCCTCCTCCTCCTCTCCTCCTCCGCCTCCTCCCCTCTTCCTCCTTCTCCTCCGCCTTCTCCTCCTCCTCCTCTCCTCCTCCTCCCTCTCCTCCTCCTCCTCCTCCTCCTCCTCCTCCTCCTCCTCCTCCTCCTCCTCCTCCTCCTCCTCCTCCAGGCCATGAGCGCAAGCGGATTTTTGCCCGGCCGCGGCGAGGGCCAGCTACGACTGGGATCCCCAACCCAGGCCTGAGGAACAGCCCGAAAAGCGGAGCCCCTCCCGAGCCCCAAATGGTCCGTCTTTCGGTGCCTTCACCGTGCAAGGAGGTCGTCTGGCTTTGACTGGTCACCTGAAGGCGCTGCACACAGACACAATCCTGTTGCGGCACCACTTTGCCATCGTTCGGACGTCCATGACCCGTGCATGTATCGGTATCGTGAATGTTTTTTTTGCTACATGATCCACGATGTTCCTCGATGACTTCGGCAAAACTAACACACAAAAAAACAACGACAACAAAAAAAAAAAAAAACAAAAAAAAAAAAACGCACACGCCCGAACGATGCCGAGCCGTTTGGCCAGCTGGGATTGGTGCCGTATGGGCACTCCGCGCTCGCTGCAATCCGCACCACGCGGCTGGGACCCGTCACAAGCGGCTGGCACTCGGCCCACATGCAGGCGGGGGAGAGGGGGGAGGAGCGCGGGGGAGGGGGCGGAGCGGGGCAAGGGAGGCAGAAACCGATGCCACCCGCGCGGGCGGGGGCTCGAGGGGGAGGGGAAGGGGGAGACCGACCCCGGTTTTGCGCGGTCCATGGAGGTTCCCCGCACTCTTGTAAGGTAAGATGCCCTCAGGAGTGTCCCATTGCGCACTCGAGTCGCACTCCTGAGAAAACCCCATATTTCCACAGAGCTGGGCACTGGCCCTGGGCCTTGGGGGGGGGGGGGGGGGGGGGGGGCTCCCGTCCCCGCTCCTCCCCCTCCATCCTCCCCTCCCGTCCTCCCCCTCCCGCCTCCCACCTTCCCTCTCCCCCTCTCGCCCCGCCCCTCCCCTCCCCCCTCCCCCGCCAATCCGATTTGCGGGCATCCTCGGCACCGCGCAAAAAAAAAACAAACAAACAAACAAACAAACAAAAAACACGAACGCACGCGACCGATTTGCAGGACCCCCCACGCGGCTCCTCGGAGGCCTCCGCCCGCTGCCCCTCCTCCGCCTCCTCCTCCTCCTTCTCCTCCTCCATGGCGGCGCCCTTCTTCGACGCGCTCTCCTGCGGGCGGGAGGGGGAGGAGAAGGAGAAGGAGGGGGAGGAGGAGGAGGAGGAGGAGGAGGAGGAGGAGGAGGAGGAGGAGGAGCCCTTTCCAGCCCATTCCCGCCGCCGCGTCGTGGCTACCTGCCTCGCGCGCGCGCTTCGCGCGCGCTCAGCGGGTGCGCCGCCTCGGCCCCATCCCGCAGAGGGACGAGGAGAGCGACCAAGGCTCGCCCTCTCCCGCGTGGCCTGGCCAGGTCCTCCTCGCAGCAGTGCCTGCAGGGCCGGCGGGGTCTTCTCACATGCGTTTTTTTCTGGCGGCTGCCACTGCCCGCCGCTCTTCTTTTGAGGCTGCCGCTGCCCTCCTCTCTCGCACGCACAGCCCGCCCCTTCTTGAGCCAGCCACTGCCCGTCTTGGGAGCCAAAAAAATGGAAATTCACACAAAGGGTTTTGTCACCACCAACGGTACAACGCATGTGCACACATGCGACTGGACCCCCAGCGATCCGAACCAGGGTTGATGCACGGCCGCGCTCTAAGGTGCAGTTGACATGTATGGTGTGGCAAAGCTGTCGGCGGCGACAAGATCCCAATGCAACGTCAGTTTGTTCATCCGTTGACAACAGCACGCGTCGCGGCAGCAGAACGCAGTAGCGCGCGCGGGCATGCAGGGCAGGCGATGCAGTTGGCCAGCTGCCAGCGCGATTTCGGCAGAAGAGCCGAAATCCAAGCAGGATCGTTTTGGGCGTGGTATCTGGCGCAGCTGCATCGCACTGCCAGGCGCCGCGGCCTTGCGATTGTGGCGCCAGGCCCCGTGCGCTCCTCGAGGTGGGAAGGCAAGCTCCACACAAAGGAATCGCGCGTGCTCTTGTGGGGGCGGCGAAAACGATCATACACACCCCCCGGGTTGGTAGTGTAAACAGACCGTACACAAAGGAATTACACGAGACTTCGTGGCACACAAAGGAATTACAGCAACGCCCTTTGGGTTGCGCTCTTCGCGCGCGGTGACAGCTCCGAGCTGGAAAGGAAACGAGGGCAGGACAAGGCAAAGCAGAAGAAGAGAAAAAAGAAGAGGAGGGCAAGAAAGAAGCGAAGGAATTAACGGAAGGAAGCCAGGATGCGCGCAAGCGAGGCTAACACTGCGCGCCGAAACAATTGTTCGTTCGTTCGGTTGGCCGTGCGGCAGATGAATGGAAAAATAACTGTTTGCTGCCTATCGAAAGGGCTTCTTGGGAATGAGACTCGCGCTCTCTTCCCAACCCCCTTTCCCACACCCCGTTGCGAGCGCGCGACGATTTGTTCCGGCCCGCGGGCAGAGGACTGCCAGTTGCTGGTGCGCGGCCTTTCCACCCGTCACGCGTTCCGAACGCATGCGACCAACTAAACGCACTTGCCACGCAAACCGCCAGCTCCAAAGACCGACGCCACACCGATCCCCACATCCGTGCCAGGCACCCTCTCAACGACGCCCCCTTCCGGCGTAAAACCAATAAAACCCTTTGTGTTTATGTGTTTTTTCCTGTTCTGACGTCTCCCTGCGCAGCTCGCCCGCGCTGTCCTGCCCTCCCGAGTCGCACTCCTCCTCTGGGCCCCCCGTTCTCGCTCAGGTTGGACGAGGCGCTCGGCCTACACGCCGACTGCGCACCTGAAGCGGCGCGATTTCAGGTAGCTGCACTGTGGGTCGAGGTCGAGGTTCTCGAGCTCGCAATGGCGCACCACGTCTACCATCTCGACGCCGCCGCGAGTGGCCAAGCGGACCAGGAGCCTCTCGACGTCCTCCTCGGTGGACACGGCGGCGGCCGCGGCCACAGTGGCGTCGTGCTCCATGGTCGCCTCAACGGCCTTCTCACAGTCCGTCTCGTATGCCCGACCCCCTGTGCAATCGCTAGCGATGTCGGGCTCCAGCTTCACTTGCCGCTCCTCACATGCCCCGAACAGTGCGCTGTAGCTGGTCACGTTCGGTCCTATCTTCGCCTCACCCGGCTTCCCTGGCCCCTGGTCCAGCCGTGGCGACGAGGGGCGACGAGGGGTAGATAGCTAAGCGGGCCTCCAACTTCGCCTCCGCCAGGCCGTCGAGTGCAGTACGTCGGGCTCCACATTCGCCGTCCTCATCGCGGAGCTGCAGCTTCGAGAACTGATCCAGATCGGGCTCCAGCGTCGCCTCCCTCTTCGCGCAGGGTGGCGCCAGGGCCGTCTGCGTCGGCCCGTCCCCGGCGCTCCCGTCGCTGCAGCCGCTGACGTCGGGCTCGACCTCCGCCTCGCCACTTCCCTGGCGCAGCGCCGGAGCCCGCTCTCGCTGCTCGCCTTTCATCGCACGCCGCGAGGCCGACGCCCGGCGTGACGCCATGGTCCCAGCACCAGCCCACCGTCCACAAGGAGGCGGCAAGCAGTAGCTATTGACACTGGGCTCGTCCGGGCTCGTCCTTCGCCTTCCTCTTGCTTACGCTCGCGGCGGCTGCTCGTCGCCCCCGCGTCGTGGTTGTCGACGTCGGGCTCGCTCTTCGCCTTCCAGCTGTTCAGCGCCGTCGCACTGTAGCTGATGGCGTGGGGCTCGTTCTTTGCATGTTTCTCGTACTGGCTTGGTCCCTCTTGAAGCTGCCACTGTCCGTCCTTCTCGCACGCACAGGGTCGTTCTCCGTGAGGTTGCCACTGCCCCTCCTCCTCGTAGATCTCCGTCCACGGGAGGCCCCACCAGGGTTGCCAGGGCGGCTGGTACTGGAGCGCCCAGTCCAGCTCGGCCCGGCGGCAGGTGGCCAGGCGGAGTCTGCGTGCGGCGCGTCGGCGACTGCGGCTGAACTTGGAGGAGCAGGAGGAGGAGGAGGAGGCGGAGGATGAGGCGGAGGAGGAGGAGGAGAAGGAGGAGGAGGAGCAGGAGGAGGAGGAGGAGGAGCAGGAGGAGCAGGAGGAGGATGAGGCCGAGGAGGAGGCGGAGGAGGCGGAGGAGGAGGAGGAGCAGGAGGAGCAGGAGGAGGAGGAGGAGGCGGAGGAGGAGGCGGAGGAGGAGGCGGAGGAGGAGGGGGGAGTCAGGAGACATCTCGAGGTTCTGAGCTTTCCAGCTTTTTGTTGGCTCTCAGCGGGCTCCGAAAGGCGAAGCCAGGGCGGGCATAGATTCGGATGCGGAACAATCAGGAATCCCTGAGATCCGGCGGCTTTGGAGGACGTCTCGGGCGCCGCGGCCTTCCCGGAGCGTTCCGGAACGCTCTGGGAGCCTTCCGGAACGCTCTGGCAGGGATTTGCCCCTCGTCCTGGCGCCCCGCCCGACTTTTCCGGCCTCGGGGCGCTTCCGAGCAGCAGCGCCTCACCAGAGGCCCTCCGTGGGTGCCCGCATCGCCTCGAACGGACACGGGAGCGCCGAGCGAGGACCCGAAAGCCAAGCGACGATCGGGGCAAAGTCCAGGGGGGCAGGAGAGCCAGGTCGGATCGGCGGTCGAAACGAATCGGATCCGTGGAAATCGGCAGCCACGTCGGGAGAAGTCCAATCGGCGGAAATCGGCAGGCTGCTGTGCCTTCATTGGGAGCTCGGCGTCCACGTCGGACTCTGAAATCGGATCGAATCGGAATCGGAAGCCATCGAAGCCGAATCGGATCGAAGCCGAGGAGTCGAAACGCGCCCTGGGGGGGAGGGGGGGGGGGCACGTGCACGGAGCGAGGGGGCGGGGAGAAGCACGGGGGAAGGGCCGGCCCGCCTCTGGAGCGAGGCAGGGCGCACGAAGTGGGAGAGGGGGCGCGAGGCCGGAGGGGACGGCGGCGCGGGCGCAGCTCCTCTCCGACAAGAGAGAGGCGGGGAGGCAAGCAGCCATCGCACGCGCAGCCCCCGGGCGTCAAGGGGGAGAAGGGGCGAGGCGGGAGAAGGGAGGAGGGAGGGAAGAACGAGGAGGGGGCCTTCTCCCTCCTCCTCCCCCGCCCACACTCCGAGCCCTCTCTGGGGCCACACGGCGGCACCCGAGCGGGCGCGAAGCGCCCCGCATGTGGGCATGGAGTTTCCTGGCGTTGCTTTCCGTGGCGGCTTCGGTAGGAGCGAGCGCGGTCCGCTGTGAGGGAGACTGAATATGAGTGGCCGAGTATGCGCGAGTCAGAGTATGAATGACCACACACATGGGTAAGAGTCTGAGTGGGAGGGAATCTGAAGGTACATTGGTCAGAATATGAATGAGCAGAAGTATGAGCAGGTCTGGTCACATAAACGTATCAATACGAGATAGCATGGCTGTAAGTCAGTATGTTCAAACGGTGTGTCAAATTGTGTGCATGGGTGTGATAACCACTGGCTGAGGTCAAACGTTCCTGGATACGAACGACATAAAGCATGAGTGAGCCTGAGAATTAGGGAGTATGGGTACAAGCGTGTCTGAGTACGGGCGGGTCTGAACAACGTTGGGCCCGAATGTGAACGAGTCTGCGTCTGCCTCCGACAAACGGGCGTCATACCCGAGACGCCCCACCCAGTCCATGCCTCTTCCTCACCATAATCCTCTTCTTCTTTCTCCCTCCCCCGTACAGCCCTCCTCCTCTCCCCTACTCTCTACACTGTCCTTGAGCGCAACCGTCCCCGTCTCGTTGGCGGCGGCGACCGCCGCTGTTGGGGCCTCCGTCACGGGGGCCGCTCGGAGGCCAGGATAGCATGAGGGGACTTGAAGTTCGGGGAGGCGCATCAAAGAGAACAAAGAACAGAATCGATGTGCTCTTGGTGCGGATGCATTACCTCCGGAGACCTCCTCTGGATGCCTTCAAAGGTTTCCAATGATATCTTGACGTTTCCAGAGGCCATCAGAAGCATCCGGGTACCTATTCTTGCTCCTTGTCCTCCTCCGCCTCCGCCTGCTCCTGCTCCTGCTCCCCCTCCTCCTCCTCCTCCTCCTCCTCCTCCTCCTCCTCCTCCTTTTCCTCCTCCTTCTCCTCCTCCATTCCTTCTCCTTATAACAAACTTATCATTGCACCGACCTTGCAGACATGCTGCAGCGAATTTTCGCGTGGACTTCTGTCACTGCAAAACCCAAAACGGCGAGTGAAAAACGTAATGAATGTCACGTGGATTTTCTGTAGTCTTCACTTTTGGCCCAAAAAATGCGCACGAAATTCACCTCGAAATCCGGAACGAAATTCTCCAGGACAATCCGGGCCCATCCTATCATTTTCCGAACGGAATCCGCTCTGCAATGTTGGCGCCAGGAAAGTTCCCCCAGTCGCACCCCGAGGCAAGTGCTTAAGGCGGGTCGGGCGTTTCGCCTTAGACTTTCTCACGATTTATGACCCTGAAGCATAAAAAACTGCAACAGTTTCACGGATTGGGGCGGGTCGTTTTCAAACTGTGACTCTCGCCTTAGCGCCGCGCACCTTCGTTTTCAACATTTACAAGAGCTTCGTGGATTGAGGGCAGGTGGTTTTCAAAATGTGGCTCTCGCCTTAGCGCCGCGCACATTCGCTTTCAAAACTTGCAAGAGTTCCATTGATTGAACGCGAATGGTTTCAAAAACTGGCTCTCGCCTTAGCGCCGCGCGCATTCGTTTTCAAAATTTGCAAGAGCTTGGCGGATTGAGGGCGGCTCCTTTTCAAAATGTGGCTGTCGCCACATCGCTGCGCACATTCGGTTTCAAACATTGTAAAAGTTTCGCTAATTGAAGGCGAATGGTGTTCGAAAAAACTAGCTCTCGCCTTAGCGCGGCGCACATTCGGTTTCAAAAACTTGCAGAAGCTTCACGGATCGAGGGCGGGTGGTCTTCAAAATGTGGCTCTCGCCTTAGCGCCGCGCACTTTCGTTTTCAAAAATTGCAACAGCTTCATTGATTGAAGGCGAATGGTTTTCAAAAGTGGCTCTCGCCTTAGCGCGGCGCACATTCGGTTTCAAAAATTCGCAAGGGTATCACGGATTGAGGGCGGGTGGTTTTCAAAATGTGGCTCTCACAGACCGTTCCTTAATGTGGTGCCCCGCAGGCTTCTCGATATGGCTGTGCAACCTTCCCCAATCATCCGCTGCACGGGGCTCATCAATCCCCGTCTGCCTCCCGATACGTCTGTGGCGGTGTGTGCCTTCCCCAGCCTGCCTCTCTCTTCTTGCTTCTTTCTCTCTCCCTTCGCGGTTGCCCAGTCGTCCTCTATCATTGTGCTTACCCGACCTTCGTGTATCTTCTAGCCCATCCGGCTACTTTTCCAAGCGCAAGGAACTGACGGGCTTCGGCCAGCTCGTCCATGGTGTATCATGTGTGTCCATGGGCAGCTGATCCACCATTGTGCCGTTTTATCTGGCCGCTTGTGCACATGACATCCCCATTATGCGTCATGATCTGGCGGCGTGGGTGCGAGCGTTCCCCAACGTGCCTCTTGACATGGTGGTCCGAGGGCTAGCCTTCCCTAGCCTGACTTGCCACAACAATCCACAGGGACCAGCCACCCTCAAAGGCTGTGTAATCCGCCAGTATCCTCCTCCTCTTCCTCCTCCTCCTCCTCCTCCTCCTCCTCCTCCTCCTCCCTCTCATCTTAATCTTCCTTCTCCTCCATTTCATTTCCTCTTAAAGAATTCCTTCATGTGGCACCCCGAGGCGCGTCGGTTGGGCAGGCCAGGCGCTTCGCCTGAGAATTCCTCATGTCTTATGACCCTTGAACTGAACGGTGCAAGAGCTTCACAGATGGAGGGCGGGCCGTCTGCAAAATGTGGCTTTCGCCTTAGCAGTGCGCACATTCGTCTGGAAACTTAGCAAGAGGTTCGCGGAACGAGGGCGGGCCGATTTCAAAATGTGGCTCTCGCCTTAGCAGTGCGCACATTCGTTTTGAGAAAATGGCGAGAGCTTGACGTATGGAGGACGGGTGGTTTTCGAAGTGTGGCTCCCGCCTCCGCGCCGCGCACACTCGTCTTACAAGTTCGGAGTTGCGAGGATAGAAGCGGGCCGCTTTCAAAATGTGGCTGCTCCCGCCTCTGCGCCGCGCACATTCGTGAGAAAGCACTGCGGGTCAAGAGCTTCACGGATGGAGGCGGGGCACCTCTCCAAACCGCGGCTCTCGCCCGAGCGCCGCGCACATTTGCCCCAAACAGTTGCAAGAGCTT